CTACAAATTCTTACAAATTAGCCACTAAACTGGCAAAACGAAAAATACTTACGTTTTCTCGTGAAATCAGGCTGGTAGTTCTTATAGTTAAAAAAAATAATTAAATTTGTTTTTGGAAATCACCAGGAGACCCCCCTTCATTGTCCTGCGACCCCTTGGGGGGTCCCGACCCCCATTTTGAGAACCACTGATGTAGACAACAAAATCAGACATTTATTTTAGTTTAAATATAAAAATCAATTCATACTTGTCTTAAATTAGTGTAACTCAGCAATTATCCAAATTTTGTGTCAAATGAGTGTTCATTTAAATCCCACAATTGAAAAAAAGAAAAAAAAATTGTACTTTTGCATTATATTTAGGCACTCTGTTGCTCACTTACTAAATATCTGCATTGGTCTGCCACTAATGTGTACAAAACCCAGTGCTGTTAGAGGCTGTAAAACAAAGCAAAAAAATCTCTAATCTTATTTTTTTTTTGGCCCAGTCTCCATTTTTGCACTGAATTAGATGCTAAATAGAAGCTTTTCAGTATTAGTCTTACACTTTTATGTGTGTGTCTGTGTGTTTCTGCTAGAATGATGGAGCGCGCTGCTGAAAGAGAGAGAGGAGGGGTGAGAGAGTTCCACTGACAGCGCGAGGGTCAAATAATCAGCCTTATTCTGTTTGCTGATGTGCGACTGAAGAGGTGTGTGTGTGTGTATCTTGTATTGCTTGTGTTGTGGAGAACAAATGTCCCCACAAGCAGTGTTGGGGTAATGCATTACAAGTAACGCGAGTTACATAATAATTATTTTTTGTATTTTAATTTTTTTTACATTTTTTATTAGAATATGCAAAAAAGGTACATAAATTGGAATCATACAAATACAAAAAAAAACATAAAACACACACACACACACAAACACACACACACACACACACACACACACACACACACACACACACACACACACACACACACACACACAGATAGAAATAAAACACATAGAAAGAAACCAGTCAGTGGTAAGGAGTAACAATGATGCAGGTAATGCAAGACAGTAATAATGACAGTAAAAAGAAAGAAAGGACAACAGTAACAATAAATCCCAAGTACTACACCAACTCCTACTATAGAAAGTTACTACTATTACAACTACTGCTGCTAATACAGCCACAACAACAACAACTACTACTACTACAAAGTCTACTAATACCGATACTACTACAACAATGACTACTACTACTGATACTACTACAGCGTCTGCTACAACCAATATTACTACAACAATGTCTACTTCCACTTCTACTACTACCGATACTGCTACAGCAATTACTGCTACTACAACATCTACATCGACAACATCTACTACTTCTGATACTACTACAACAATGTCTACTACTACTACTACTACTACTAATACTGCTACAGCAATCACTGCTAATACACATCTACATCGACAACATCTGCTACTTCTGATACTACTACACCAACGACGACCACTACTACTACTACTACTACTACTACTACTACTACTACTACTACTGATACTGCTACAGCAATCACTGCTACTACAACATCTACATCGACAACATCTGCTACTTCTGATACTACTACACCAACGACGCCCACTACTACTACTACTACTACTACTACTACTACTACTGATACTGCTACAGCAATTACTGCTACTACAACATCTACATCGACAACATCTGCTACTTCTGATACTACTACACCAACGACGCCCACTACTACTACTACTACTACTACTACTACTACTACTACTACTACTTCTACTACTGATACTGCTACAGCAATTACTGCTACTACAACATCTACATCAACAACATCTACTACTTCTGATACTACTACAACAATGTCTACTACTACTACTACTACTACTACTGATACTGCTACAGCAATCACTGCTACTACACATCTACATCGACAACATATGCTACTTCTGATACTACTACACCAACGACGACCACTACTACTACTACTACTACTACTACTACTACTACTACTACTACTGATACTGCTACAGCAATTACTACTACTACAACATCTACATCGACAACATCTGCTACTGCTGATACTACTACACCAACGACGACCACCACTACTACTACTACTACTACTACTACTACTGATACTGCTACAGCAATCACTGCTACTAGACATCTACATCGACAACATCTGCTACTTTTGATACTACTACACCAACGACGACCACTACTACTACTACTACTACTACTACTACTACTACTACTACTACTTCTACTACTGATACTGCTACAGCAATCACTGCTACTACACATCTACATCGACAACATCTGCTACTTCTGATACTACTACACCAACGACGCCCACTACTACTACTACTACTACTACTACTGATACTGCTACAGCAATTACTGCTACTACAACATCTACATCGACAACATCTGCTACTTCTGATACTACTACACCAACGACGCCCACTACTACTACTACTACTACTACTACTACTACTACTGATACTGCTACAGCAATTACTGCTACTACAACATCTACATCGACAACATCTGCTACTGCTGATACTACTACACCAACGACGACCACTACTACTACTACTACTACTACTGATACTGCTACAGCAATCACTGCTACTACACATCTACATCGACAACATCTGCTACTCCTGATACTACTACACCAACGACGACCACTACTACTACTACTACTACTACTACTACTACTACTACTACTACTGATACTGCTACAGCAATCACTACTACTACACATCTACATCGACAACATCTGCTACTTTTAATACTACTACACCAACGACGACCACTACTACTACTACTACTACTACTACTACTACTACTGGTACTGCTACAGCAATTACTGCTACTACAACATCTACATCGACAACATCTGCTACTTTTAATACTACTACACCAACGACGACCACTACTACTACTACTACTACTACTACTACTACTACTGATACTGCTACAGCAATCACTGCTACTACACATCTACATCGACAACATCTGCTACTTCTGATACTACTACACCAACGACGACCACTACTACTACTACTACTACTACTACTACTACTACTACTACTACTGATACTGCTACAGCAATTACTGCTACTACAACATCTACATCGACAACATCTGCTACTTCTTATACTACTACACCAACGACGCCCACTACTACTACTACTACTACTACTACTACTACTACTACTACTACTGATACTGCTACAGCAATCACTGCTACTACACATCTACATCGACAACATCTGCTACTTTTGATACTACTACACCAACGACGACCACTACTACTACTACTACTACTACTACTGCTACTGCTACAGCAATTACTGCTACTACAACATCTACATCGACAACATCTGCTACTTCTGATACTACTACACCAACGACGCCCACTACTACTACTACTACTACTACTACTACTACTACTACTACTACTACTACTGATACTGCTACAGCAATCACTGCTACTACACATCTACATCGACAACATCTACTACTTCTGATACTACTACACCAACGACGCCCACTACTACTACTACTACTACTACTACTGATACTGCTACAGCAATCACTGCTACTACACATCTACATCGACAACATCTGCTACTTCTGATACTACTACACCAACGACGACCACTACTACTACTACTACTACTACTACTACTACTACTACTACTACTGATACTGCTACAGCAATCACTGCTACTACACATCTACATCGACAACATCTGCTACTGCTGATACTACTACACCAACGACGCCCACTACTACTACTACAATAATAAATACTTACAATAATATTACTTTTCAGCTTAGATGGCCGGCCAGCACTAGGAAGAGTCCTGGTGGTTAAACATCTTCCAATTACAGAGGATGGAGGTGGATGTGCTCACTGGAACTTTCAGAGCAGCAGGAATGTTTGTGTAACCTTCCCCAGCCTTGTGCCTTGAGACATTTCAGTCTCGGAGATCTACAGACAATTCATTTGACTTCATGCTTGGTTTGTGCTTTGACATGCACTGTCAACCCTGGCCCTTATATAGACAGGTGTAGCCTTTTCAAATCATGTCCAATCAACAGAATTGACCACAGGTGAACTCCAATGAAGCTGCTGAAACATCTCAGGAATGATCAGTGGAAACAGAATCTACCTGAGCTCAATTTAGAGCTGTGAATACTGATGTACATGTGATTTTTCAGCTTTTTTATTTTTAATAAATTTGCAACAATTTCAAAACTCTTTTTTCACATTGTCATTATGGGGGATTGTGTGGAGAATGTTGAGGAAATAAAAGAATTTAATCCATTTTGGAATAAGACTGTAACATAAACAAATGTGGAAAAGTGCTATGAATACTTTCTGGACGCACTGTAGCACTCTAAAATGCATTGAACTCAGTCCAGTATTCACAATTAAAATAATGAATGCAATCTGGAAGTGAACCATGAGAAGGATCAAACATTAAATTCAATTCTCTGAGGACATTTCACAAGAGTCGCAGTAAAAAACATCATATTTGTGTAGTTTGTCGCACATGCTTCCTCAAGTCTTGCACACAAGTTTTTTGTGCTCTTCTTGATGCGTGACGGCTTCATTGTAAAGCCATGGGAAGAGAATGATGTGGGAACAGCTGTGATGCGAGACCTGTAAACATCTGAGCCATTCATCGCTATACGCTTCAGCACATAACATGTTCATGCATGTAAACGTTTTATTGTTTTGATCGATACATGTCGCAGACATGTATAGCCTGCTTCTACAGTCATTATTGGAGGGTCCATTGTAAAAGAGGCCCGAGCGGAGAGCGCCGCATTGATATTCACATCACACACACGCACTGACAGGTCCTGAGAGAGGAGTTTTACTCTGGTTTCATGGTTCATTGCTCTTTGTAATGCTGTAGAAGTGTGATTCGGCTCTGATACGCGCTAATGTCAAACTGTTTCTCATTAACTCTAAACAGCGAGCGGATCTCATCAGATTCCCTCCCGGCTGATCATATGTGTGTGGAGCTGCAGACTGAAGCATCAGGAGAGTTTGAGAGTATCGGGTTTTCTGCGTTCGCTGTCTGTCTGGATAACGGCACATAGGATGTGGAATGGACTGTGACCGCAGACTCCTCCAGCAGTAGAGGTAGTCCACTTTCTTTGTTTTCAGAGAAGATCACTATCATCTTTCATAGAAATCTTCATTTGCGATCGATCTAGAGAAGCATCTGTGTAGGGCAACGTTATATTAAATGTGCTTATTCAAATTCCCGACGGCCCAAACTCCTGAGGAACCTCAGCATGTGTTTACCAAGATAAAACTAACCCATCAAGTAGCAGCTGCGATGTGTTTCCTCTAGCCTGAAATGGCTGTTTTAGATGAAATTAAGGTTGTGCGATACTAGGAAAATGCCATATTTCCCTAGAAATGGGCTATTCCTATTAGCTATATTTAGTTAAAATGTATTTTTCAGATCTAATACATTCAAATCAGACTTGAAAAACCGTCAAGGTGCAAACATTTATGAACGAAAACCTCAGCAGATATTCTGACTCTGATTGGTTCTTGTCATTTTCCTCTCTCTTCTCAACTCCTGCTGTTAGTTGTACACTGAGTGAGATATTTTTGAGTTGTCAGTGTTTTAGTTTATATGTGATTATGCCTGAATGTTTTTAACTGACTTTTTAATTGGATTTTATTGTTTTAATTTTAACCTGTCCAGGGACTGCAGGTGGAAATTAGCAATCCTGCTACAACCTGGCACAATGCATCTTTCCTCTTTGAGGTTAATGTAATCTTTGTGCATTGTCCCTGTTAAATAAATAAATAAATAAATAAATAAATAAATAAATAAATAAATAAATAAATAAATTCTCTAGCTCTAGGAAGAGTCCTAGTGGTTTAACATCTTCCACTTATAGATGATGGAGGCCTCTGTGCTCAATGGAACTTTCAGAGCAGCAGGAATGTTTGTGTAACCTTCCGCAGCCTTGTGCCTTGAGACATTTCGGTCTCAGAGGTCTACAGACAATTCCTTTGTCTTCATGCTTGGTTTGTGCTTTGACATGCACTGTGAACCCTGGCCCTTATATAGACAGGTGTATGCCTTTTCAAATCATGTCCAATCAACTGAATTGACCACATTAATAAATAAATAAATAAATAAATAAATAAATAAATAAATAAATTCATTCATTCATTCATTCATTCATTCATTCATTCATTCATTCATTCATTCATTCATAGTGTTTATTTTCATCTATGGGTTCACCAATATTCAGCCAATAGCAGAACAGCAACTACAAGGGTGGCGGTGCTAAATATACATAGTGAAATCTCATCTGATTGGGCAAATTCAGTGTTGGGCAGGATCCTTTAAAAGAGTAATTCAAGAGTTCACACTTAGCTGACGATTGATAATAAAGCTTGTTTGGCAGGCTGTCCCGGGAGAGAGCCCTGAGCTTATAAGATCCTCCAGCCCTGGGCTCACTCCTGTTGCAGGGCGAGAGGGGAGTTTGAGCTCATGTAGATCTCGATGACTCCCCCTCCTGCTTATTGTAGCTAAGTGTCAGATAAGGATGCTGAGAAGGTGTACTCAGCTTGGCTAAAAATATTTGGGATTAAATGTTTAGGGTGCTTGTTTTTGCACTGTGGGAGGAAACCGGAGGACCCGGGGAAAACCCACACGAGCACGGGGAGACGAGCAAATCTCTGCACAGAAATGTCGCCTGGTTTGGAAGGGAATTAAACCAGGGGCATTCTTGCTGTGAGGCAACAACGCTAATCACTGGCCACCGTGTCACCCGTTTGAAAGGAGGGAAGTAGGGTTGGGTGTGTGTGTGTGTGTGTGTGTTGGGGGGGGGGTGTTCTTCAAGATGAAGATATTGAGGTAAGAAAAATCTGGTTGTTTATAGTGAGTTAAGGATCCTCTGATAGGATAATTAGTCATCAGCTAAAGTTGAAACAGCTGCGAACAATCATAAGCACGTGATCCTCCCGAAATTTGTTTATAAATAAACTTCACTTAATTATAGTTTAGGGTGTCCACAAGGTCTTAAAAAGTATTAAAAGTTGATAAATCAATTATGAGAAAATTAAAGGTAATAAAAAGGTAATAAAAGGTATAAAAAAGTCTTAATCTGGTTTTTACGAGCAGCAAGCAGCAAATAGCAGCAAGTGCAGGATACAGGTATAAGTTATAGAGTGTAGTTATAGAAAAACTATGGAGATATTTATGAATATGTGCAAATTTCAAATGTAAGTGCAGTGATTGTAAGGAGTATAAGTTAGAGGAGAGGGGAGGGTGTATTAGGGGGGCAAAATAAGAGTCAGTGAGGGGCAGAGTTCAAAAGGGAGAAAGCTCATGGGGAAAAAGCTGTTTCTCAGTTTGCTGGTTTTTGTCCGGGGATGGCTGAAACGCTTGCTGGAAGGCAGGAGAGAAAGCAGTTTGTGAGCAGGGTGAGAGGAATCCTTAAGAATACTGCGTGCTCGGCGCAGACAGTGTTTCTTCTGGATGTCCTCAATGACTGGCAGTGTGGTCGCTGTGATGCGTTGGGCAGTTTTCACCACCCGCTGCAGTGCCTTACGATCAACAACAGAGCAGCTTCCATACCAGACTGTGACGCAGTTGGTCAGGATTATTTTTTTTGTGCAGCGGTAGAAGTGAAAGCTGGTTCTTCTTAAGTTGCCTTAAGAAAAATAGGTGCTGGTGAGCCTTCTTGACCAGGCTGGAGGTGTTGGTGGTCCAGGAAAGTTCCTTTGAGATGTGGGTCCCCAGAAACTTGAAGGATGGCACATGCTCAACGGCCATCCCATTGTTGTGGATGGGATCATGTAAGCCTGTTCGTCCCTTCCTGAAGTCTACAATGAGTTCTTGGTCTTGTTGGTGTTAAGGAGCAGATTAGTGTCGGTGCACCAAGTTAATTACTGAAAAAATAACACTGTTAGTAACGCCCTTTATTTATATATGACATTATCCTAATCACTGTAATGATGGGAAGTTCAGATTATTTTACTGACTCGGATCTTTGAGTCTCGTTCATCGAGATGAACACATCTTTTTTTGAGTCATTTCGTTCATTTGGTTCAATTTGCCAAAATATTATTAAAATGTTAGGAATTGCTTCCAAACACATCTACAACTAGCCCAAAAGGTTGATCACATGACATATAAGTCATAAATATAATACTATGAGAAGGAAAACATAATAATTCAGTGTTTACCTGCTCTTTTGTCTAAGAAAGTATTGTTGTCTCTTTGCTCAGCTCACCTCTTCATGTCGTCAAATGTCAGTGGTTCGTTCATGTTACACTGACAGTCACATATATCTTAACCAATGTACACAGTCTGAGCCGATAGGAGCCATGATAATTAGTTCACCTTTCAATTAATTCTTTTTCCAGCTCTAAACATATATGATTGGCCCGTGAGGAATGAATGACTCAGACCCGATAGAGGACTCGAGAGATGAATGGATCAATTATTTTTCCGGCTCTAAACGCAAATGATTGGCTTCTGGCTTTCCACGATGAATGACTCAAAAGAGTTAAAATGAATGATATCACCTGCACAAATGTGCACAAGCGGGAATGAACGAATCACTCCTTGAGAGGACTCATAGTTCCCGAGTCATTTTGAAGATTCGTTGATCGACCCATCACTACATCACTGGTCAAATTTAGATAAACAACCAATGCATAAAATAAATTTAATACATCACACATATCTGATATATATATATATATATATATATATATATATATATATTGCATAAACTATTATTGCGATCATGATCATTTTGTGATATATTGTGCAGCCCTAGTTAAAATGTCTTATGGGCATTCCTAAAATGATCCGCACAAACATTGCTATTATTGTTGCTCATTCCCTTAACACTTAATGTTCAGTTTGTGCTTGAATGATGCTTCAGTTATTGTGGTTTATCTGTATTGAGTGATCAGATGCACCACTTTCACAAACTGGATCATGGAAAACCACAGCCACACATTAGAGTCTGTTCTAGATATTTGAACAGCCTAGCAACTGCATAGCAACACACTGAAATCTAATTAGAACACCTGTGCAACTGCATGGTGATGGGAGTAGCACCAAGGCAACAAATTTGACAAATGATTGCTAACATTTAGGAAATTTACTCTGTTTTATACATTTACGCAACACAGGGATTACTTTGAGTGAAGTATTTAAATGAACTTTCTGTGTTTGGGTTAGGTTTTTTATTATATATATAAAGAGAAAATTTTCAAAACATAAACTTTTTAATAACTCATTTGTAATGACTGTTTTATTTGATCTTTGTCATGATGACAGCACACAAGTGAAATTTAAAGGCTTAACTAGGTTAATTAGGTTAACTAGGCAGGTTAGGGTAATTATGGAAAGTTATTGTATAACAGTGGTTTGTTCTGTAGACTATCGAAAAAATATTTAGCTTAAAGGGGCTAATAATTTTGACCTTAAAATTGTTTTTAAAAAATTAAAAACTGCTTTTATTCTAGCCGAAATAAAACAAATAAGACTTTCTCCAGAGGAAAAAAATATTATCAGACATACTGTGAAAATTTCCTTGCTCTGTTAAACATCATTTGGAAAAATTAAAAAAAGAAAACAAATTAAAACAAGGGCTAATAATTCTGATATATATATATATATATATATATATATATGTTTTTTTGCAAAACCCTGTTTTTTTACTTGGTCCCTAAAGTACCTTAGAGAGCTGTAAAAATGTTATGGTGTATGAATATGGTTAATTTACTTTGATTTATTGACAATTTGTGCCTTTCCATTTCCAGACGCACGCTGCCGAGGGTCGATTTTGGGAAAGTCGTCTATCTCCAAGACATTTTTCTGGCTGGATTGTCTTTCCTGAGATATCGCACATACGCCAGACTGTGTCAGTCTAAGGAGACTCCACAACCATATTTGTTTATTTGGCTTCCCTTCTCTCTCTGCCATCCATCTGCATACGTTCCTCCCCATCACATCCATCATCCCCTCCCGTGACACCATGTGGAGATTTCAGACTTTGCTTTCTATGCTCACTGTGTTCCAAGCCTCCAGCCACAGCCCCAATCCATTCAGCGGGCCTCAAGTGACTCCGACAGACCCCTGTTATGAGGAGACGGGTGCTGCCCGCCGGTGCATCCCAGAGTTCATAAACGCAGCATTTGGGCAGGAGGTCAGTGTGTCGAGTGTTTGTGGGCGACCAGTGTCTAGATCATGTAGTTTAGTGGAGCGTGATGACCGTCCCGCCGTTCGCACATGCCAAATCTGCGATGCATCTGATCCCCGCAATGCCCATCCCGCCAGCTACCTCACCGACCTCAACTCTGCCCATAACCTCACCTGCTGGCAGTCGGAGAACCTGCAGAGCTCGCCGCTCAACGTAACGCTCACATTATCCCTCGGTAAGAAGTTCGAGATCACTTATGTCAGCCTTCAGTTTTGTTCGCCACGTCCTGAATCGTTGGCCATATATAAAAGCATGGACTACGGACGCACTTGGACTCCTTACCAATTTTACTCATCGCAGTGCCGTCGCATGTATAACCGACCCAACAAAGCTGCAATCACTAAACAGAACGAGCAGGAGGCTTTATGCACAGACGGACACACTGATCTCTACCCGCTTTCTGGAGGTCTCATTGCGTTTAGTACATTGGACGGGCGCCCATCGGGGAAGGACTTTGACTCGAGTCCTGTGCTTCAGGATTGGGTGACGGTCACTGATATTCGGGTGGTGTTCAGTCGTCCGCAGCACACTAGAGCGCTGCCAATGTCAGGACGTGAAAGTGAAGACGCTCTCGGTGCGCCTGGAAGCTTGCCGACGTACTATTATGCGGTTGGTGACTTCCAAGTGGGCGGGAGGTGTAAATGCAATGGCCACGCCTCTAGGTGTGTCCGGGAGAAGGACGGGAAGCTGCTGTGTGAGTGCAAACACAACACTGAGGGTCCGGAGTGTGATCGATGTAAACCGTTTCATTATGACCGGCCCTGGCAGCGGGCGACAGGGAAAGAGGCCAACGAGTGCTTACGTAAGTCACGAAATCTATTCTTCTTAAAGTGCAGATGACATCAAAACTAGTCATATTATTTTTGTGTTAGTTTTGTGGTGAACAATTAATCCGTGCATGAATTCTAATCTTAAATTTAAATTTGAATATCTGCTTCCTGTTTTTAGTTCAATTCTCAGATCAGGGGCCTCATGTATCAACGCTGCGTACGCACAAAAACTTTGCGTACGCCAGGTTTCACGCTCAGAATCGATCACGTTTGGATTTACTAACAATGAACTGAACGTGGGAATGTGCGCAGCTTCACGGCAGCTTTATGGCTGGCATACGCACATTTTTTGTGCGTGTCTGTTTTATTTCCATTGGCGACTCCTAGAGGCAGTTGTGTTAAATTCCTCCCTACAAAGTGTCTGAGCCTTGCAATGGCAGCTGTATGAGACGGGTTCATCTAGCAGGTATATAAGGTTTCCATACCATACAGTTGACCAGCTAAACATTAAAGCACAATTTGCAGCGGTCGCCTGTTTTCCCAATGTAATCTGAGCGATCTACTGCACGCACATTGCTATAAAGACACTATCTGAAGATGAATTTGCATGCGTGAATCAGAAACATTTCCATTCAATAAATGTGCAAATAAAATATGATGCTTATTGATATGAACTTATTGATGATTCCTACTTGTCTTTCTCGTGATAAATAGTTGGCAAAATCTGATATGTAGCGGGGGAAAAAATAAGATAGAGTTTATCAGACGCTGGATTCGAGCCGAGTTCATGCTCGAACGTGTCAATACATGATCACATGCGTCTTACGAGTTGCACCACTGAGACTGTTAAGGGTCCTGCAACATTTTTCAGATACAAACCACACTATTTCTTTTTTAATTCACTCTGTGCGATGTTCAGACCCAACTGTGTTAACCGCATCAGCTAAACTCTCCCACTCATTTTTTTCTTTTGTTGTTAATTCCGGAGAACAAACTTGCAAATAACACCGCTTTTCTCCGGTCTACCTCCGCAAGCTGCACCTCCAATTCACATTCTGTTCAAATTTTCTTTTCTTGCTTGCTTTTGCCTTTGCTTTTTCGTTAGGTTTTGCCATTAGCATGGTCATTAGCATATTCATACGGGGGAGGAGGCAGGGAGGGGTTTTGTGCTCGTGCATGTTGCGCTCAGTTTCACGTTCATTCGGATGTACAAAAGAATATGCGTGAGATTCGGCGTACGCAGTGTTTCATACATCTGAATTTTTTTCTGCGTACGCACATTTACAGCTTTGTGCGTAGGCAATGTTTTAGTAAGATTTCCACGCAAGTCTTCGTACATGAGGCCCCAGGTCTGTCTAGACGTGGTTAACGTAATTATTTTTTTATATATTTGATTGTTGAAAAACAGAGTAAATGGACATTTTGTGGGGAACTAATCCTTTAAAACCAAATTCTGTACACACATCTTGAAGCGGAGCGAAAGTCTGGGTTTTGGGTGCACGTTTGAACAGACATACACATTATTAATATTAATAATAATAATAATAAATAATAATCTAAAGATGTTTATCTTGATGGGTTTTTGTTTTCAAACACAACTAATTTTGTCCTAAATGAGCATAAAAAGTTAGAAAAAACTATCAAATGCTTTCATTATAACGATAGATGTGTGCATTTTTAAAGTGATGGGGGGTTATTGTGGGTATATCCCTTATTTTCACATCACAATGTTGTCAGGTATGGCGGGGGTACATTTTCCCAGTGAGCCTGTGCTGGATTTAATTATACATTTTTAAAACATTTCAGTATTAAATGAAACATTACATTAATAATACCATCAAATGTTGCTTGGATAAACAAATTAGACGTCTGACACTTTTTTTTTTTTTGACTAGAGATTGTTTCAGTTAATTCTGGAATTGCCTTTTTTTAATGTGAAATAAAAATAAGTCATTTAAAGCAGCGTAATTGTGCTGTCTAGATAGGCGGCTCAATGCACATTTCAACAGAGCTTCAGTGTGGTGTTACGCAAGCATCACCTGGCAGAAACGTGAAGGTTAATTCTCATGGCATCTCACGTCTGAACTTGATTTATTGGACTTGGATCTCTTAAGCTGTATCTGTATTAATTCTGGAAACATTCCACCGAACACATACAGACTGACACACGAGTGCGAGACGGAGATCTGTGTTTGTGTATGTCTGTCTTACAGTATGTTAATCTTTACATAAACTCTTCTCTTAGGACGTGTCTGAACAGCCCACATTACTGACAGCAGCGTCAGAGCTGTTTTACGCCACTCGGGAAAGCAGCGTTTGTTTATTTTGGCGTCCATATTAACAGTGATTTACACTGTGCAGTGCAGTGGTGTGAAGCAGAAATGCAGGACACTCAACACTTTAGGAGAATGTTGATGTGATATCAGTGTACTCAAATCTGCAGAGATCATAATGGTGCTGTTGCTTAAACCACATTTTCAGCCCTCTAAAACACTATTGTGTAATTAAAAATACAAAAGTGCGTTTATAAACCTTATTTTGTAAATGGTTTCAATTTAGGGTTTCAGAAGGCGACTATCTGTTATAAAGTAAGTAAATCAAAATCATTTGTAAAGCAGATTATCGGTCAAGTAGCATCATTAAAATGTTTAGCAAATGAAAATTTCAACCCAAGCTCAATCTGAAAACGTAGCCCTGCATACGTTTCTGGAGCCCGCGATTTACGTGGCTGGAGGTATGTATGGCCGCATTTGTTTTTTTCGAGCGAACGCTACGGGGCGGTGTGAGGCCGCTCCTCTTCTTCACGTTAGCCGGCTGTGACGGCTCACTCAGCTCCGTGTGGAGGGCTTTACCGCCGCAACCAGTTTGTCCGCTTAGCTCGTAGTGTTACGTCGGCAGAGCGGAGGCGCAGAGGAGAAGGAGCTGGCCGCGACAACGACCGGGTTCGAGTCCGGGGAAGAACGGTTCCAGAAATCAGGTAGGATGAAAAACAGAATCCAAAAATAAAAGCAAACGAGTTCGTGACGGGCGAAAACGCAGCGAGATCCGAAAACGTGGTCAAAATCGGACGAGGGCTTTTGCTTTTTTTTTTTGAATGGCTTTTGTAAATCGTCGTTTGGGTTTAGGGAAGGAGGAGGCTGGGTCGGCCGATCGTTCAGTCATTCAGTCCGTCAGTCGGACAGACGGTCGCTCGATAGTGGCCTCTGGCGTCTTTTCGCACGAGAACAGCGCGAGCGCGAATGGCGCGCGCTCCCGAGAGGCGTTCGAGATGCGAAAAAGCGCGGCACAGCCGCCTCTTGCGGATTCGCGAAAACAAAAACTGCACAAATACGTACCTCCCGACGTATTTCGTGGCCTCCAGAAACGTCCACGAGGCTACGTTTCCACAATGAGCCTGGGTTGGAAAATTTTCACTGTGCACAAAACTAGTGAAAAATAAATATTGAATGAGTCATAATTTCATGCTTTGATCTTGGATTCATACCTGCCAACGCTCACATTTTTCAAGGAAGTCTCCGGTACTTCAGACCCATCTCCCGCCACCCTCCCATTTTGTTATTTCTCCCAGAAAAACTCCTGTAGACTGTACAAATGAAGAATATCAGCAAGAAAGAGGGGGGCCAGGTTATGAAGAGCTTTGTATGTTAAGAGAAGGATTTTGTATTGTATACGATAGTGAACAGGGAGCCAGTGCAGGTGAAAGAGAATTGGAGTTATGTGATCAGAAGGATGTGAGCAGGTAGCTATCCTAGCCGCTACATTCTGAATTAACTGTAGTCTATGAATTTGTTTATCCGGGATGCCAGATAGGAGCGAGTTACAGTAATCAATCTGAGATGTAACCAAAGTATGAACAGTTTGACGACATAATTGTGTATATAAAAACAAAATCAAACATGGAGAGTCTCAACAACCCTTTTGTATGAGGAACTACTTTCTTCCAGATTCAAATCATAAGCTGACAGTTAAACAGCTGAGCGTGCCTCTTTTAAACTTTAGATCTGTAGTGTCTGCTTGTTGCTGGCTGTATGTGGGTGGAGTAATACACAAAGGGTAAAGAGGCTGTACGGGTGCTGATATTACTTAAATATATCACGGCTGTCACCCAATCAAATTCGAGAACCAGAGAGAACTGTTGTATGTATGTGTGTGTATATATATATATATATATATATATACATATATATATATATATTTTTTTTAAGTATATATATATTTTTTTTTTGAATATATATATATATATTTTTTTTTCATATATATATATATATATATATATATATATATATATATATATATATATATATATATATATATATATATATATATATGGTAATACTGTAATTACATTTCATACAAACATTTTAGAGAAAATGTCAGACAGGTGGGCCTTCAAAAATTAATCGGAGAAAGAAGTGGGCTCCGAAGTAAAAAAAACTTGAGAGCCCCTGATTTACAGTACATGCATTCGTATCCATATAGTCCACAGTATGTTATCCGTATTCGTATCCATAAGATCAGCGGCAGCTGCAGATACTCATCTTATCAGACAGCAGTGTTATCGCTGAACTAAAAATTAGCTGAATCCTGTGAATGTATTAATCTCTGAGTCAGGAAAGATATATCATGTCCGAATGGTCCAGTCGGGCAGTCCTGACACTCCGTTAGTATCACTAATGTCTCCCATAAATCTCTCTGCCTCGTCTAATTTCCCGTTCTTTTATACCAGCATTAGGTGAGTTACTTCAAAAATTTAGGTAATTGCTAATTATTAATACATACAGTTGCTTATTAACTTAATTACTAGACTAAATGCTTTTAGTTTAGTAAAACACTTACATTTAAACAATATTTCTGAATAAATGTCTATGGGGTTGCTAGGGTGTTATGAGGGGCTGTTAGTATGTTTCTACGAGGTTACTGTGGTGTTAGGATGCTGTTAGTGTGTTGCTATGGGGGTTGCTAGGGTATTATGAGTGACTGTTTGTGTAACTATGGTGTTAAGAGGCTGTTGTTAGTCTATAGCTATGGGGTT